GACAAAAACCTGCGGGGAGCTAGGGAAAAAACGCATCTTCGCACTGGCAGTCAGTGCGTTGGCCAATTATTTACTTATTTTGCAACGCTAAATCGGTATTCCTGCGGTGACTGGATCACGAATAGTATTTTTCTCAGCCATTTAGCCGGCAACTTTTCCAGTTGCTTTAACCAGTGCCTGCCAGTTATGGTCAGCCTTTTGACAGTTGTAACAGATTTCTTGTGATCAATCCAATATAATTGCCAACTTAACGGACCTCCCGAAAAAAAAAAGTTTTAACAATTTTGAAATTTCCATGGTATGTGCTGAGGTGTGCTGCCACATCGTTCCAAAAGCTACACCGCTTGTCCTCGGCCACAACAACGCACTTTACCGGTCAGAAAAGATCCTGGGAATAATAAATCAAATTTAGGAGGTCAAATTTAAGAGATTGAATTCGAATTTAATCGGTTCGATTTTGAATTACAGCACAAGAACCTTTGGCAGAAACTGGCTTTGTACTTGTCACGAAAATTGATATTAGCTTTTTGCGTTTTTTTTCTTATTTTACCGGATTTCAGGTTCGTATTCTTTGAGGCCACCGAATGAGATGTCGGTATGCATGGTACCGAGTGAGGTAAGCGATGAGGAAGCGATGGAACAGTTTGAGTTCTGCTTGCATCAGCTGCTCGCACTCGCCAATGAAATATTCGGGAAACTGGCAAAACGACTGGAAATTTTCAACGAGCGCCTCGAAAGGATAAAGGGGGATGTGCAACGTGTGGCCAACAAAGTGGAACATATCAGAGAGGTACGTCCCTTCGCTCACGGTACTTTTCGTTTCTTCAGATAATGTGATTCGGCAAGGACTTGTACGATTTATACCGGTGATAAACCATTTCTGAGTGCAGTACTTGAACATTTGCCGTAGATCACTTGTATTGTCACACTGGAAAATTGACTTTTTTTACAGATGAACGGTGCTGTTGTGGTGAGTGCTGCGGGCAAATTCATCAAAACAGAAAACGATTGTTATCCTTCTGTGCTGTGCAAAGGGCTGCGTAGTGATGGGATTGTGCCTGAAACGGTACGTGTAAA